TATTTTTATATATATTTCGTTATATATATATCCACCTTAACTCCAGAGCTTCAGCCCAAGAAACCGCCAAAGCCAATGCCTTTGAACTTGGCAAAGCCAATGCCACCGCCAACAAAGCTGCCACCGCCGAGACTTCGACCAAAGCCACCGCCATAACCACCGCCATAGCCACCTCCAAAGCCACCGCCATAGCCACCGCCATAGCCTCCACCGTAACCACCTCCAAAGCCGCCGTAGCTGGGCACCGTGGATATGGTGGACACAACCGGCACGGTCGTAATGATCGGCACAGTTTGTATCACGGGCACAGTTTGTATGACAGGTGGTGTGAGGTAACCACCACCAACACCACCAGCAGCACCGCCTCCAGCCACTATGCCACCGCCTATAAAACCGCCTCCAATGTGTCGCGTCTTGCGCACAAGTTCATTGCCTTCACGCACAATGGGCGTGGCCGCCAGCTGGGCAACGGCAAGTGCGAAGATCAGCGAATAAAATGTTCCACGCAGCATCTTTAAAACCCCAACTGATTGGAGTAGCATCGCAAGCCTCGTTATTTATGCAAATTAATTAGTGGGCCACGTCTGTTCACATCCCAGAGCGCAGAGGCTGGCCTATTTGCTTTAGCAATTCACAAATACCTGGATGCCGAAATTCCCCAATCGCTGAAAGCTAACTCCATATAGATCTAACTTGAAATATGCTCATAAGCAGCTGCTTAGTGTACACTGAGAGAAAATAGTGTATGGATTATTATTAATGAAGATGGTAGCAGTAAATAGATGATACAAAAGAAATGAATGAAGAGAACGAGAAGGAAAACGAGATGAAAACCCAGAGGAAAAAGAAGAACTAAAAGGAAAAGGAGAAGGAAAAACAAAGAAAGATATTGAAGAGGAAATAATGAAGGAAGAAGAGCAAAAATCAAAGCAGAAAATAGGAAGAACCAAAAGAAAAACATCTAGGAAATCCGCCAAAATGCATAGAAGAAAAGAAGTAGAAGAAGTTAACAGTCAGTAAATTCAAAAATTTATCAGTCAGAAGTCATTCAACATATATGATAATTTCTCTCAGTGTACTTCACACATCAACCACATTGATCACAACTGAGTGAAGGTCAGTTTTGGTTGCGAGCCACGTGCATGGAGACGCGTAAGTGAAAACCCGCCCAATGCTTGGTTAATGCGTATGCAAACATGGCTAAGCTGGTGGGATTTTTTGTCAGTGGTGCTGCATGACGCACCACTCGAACGTCGCATAAATACGTTGCGACGTCTGCGCCGGCGCAACAGAACGTAATCAACGCGACATCCACGATGAGTTGTTTTCTTCAATTGCTGCTGATGTGTGGTGCAGCTGTGGTGCTGCAGGCTTACGGCTTGGGTGGCATCAGTGCGGTGCCGGTGGTGCAACAAGTGCCGGTGGTGCAACAAGTGCCGGTGGTGCAGCAAGTGGCCGTAGTACAACAACAACCACAGGCGCTGGCCTTAGGTGGTGGCTTGCTGGGCGGTGGTGCAGCTGGCTTCGGCGGTGGTTTCGGCAGCTATCGCGAGACCTATCGCGTTAGAGGACGTGCCTTCGGCGGCGGTGGCTTCAAAGGTGGCCTTGGACACGGCGGCTTTGGCGCCGGTGGCTTCGGCGGCGGCGGTTTTCGCGCACGCTACGACAAAAAGGTCGTGGGTGGATTTGGTGGTGCTGGCGTGCTGGGCGGTGCAGGCGGTGGCGCACTGTTTGGATAATTAAATATTAGTAATAATTAGTTTCAATAAGAGGTTTATGTCTATGAAATAAAACCAAAATGAAAAGTCAGATCCACTTTGGTGCTTGATGTGGTCAGGATGATAAACCACCACTGTATTATACAATATGTACAAACACGTTTTGCTTGCGGCATACAAACAAAGCTCAAATAGATACCCTTTAATGCTTTTGTATTATAATGATTTTAATTTTGTATCATAATGTTTTTCTTACCTCAGAAGACACCCTGTTTTGCTGTAGATCTACATAATTCTTCGCTATGTTCAAACAATATATTTTAATCTCTGCTCAATTTAAATAAATGAAATATATTTCTTATGCTCAATCCCAAAGAATCAGTCTGTATTTGGATTATGTTCAAGCACTAAATAAGACACCCTGTATATGTTGTTATGCTCACGCATTTTGCTGACATGCGCATTTTCAACCCTGCTGCGCTGCTGCCGTTGCCTTTGCTTGGCGCAGTGGTGGCGGTGGCGGTGGCGGTGGTGCGGCAGCGGGTGTATAATATTTTTTATTTTTCTGAATGGGGCAGCCAGCCAGCCAAGGCAGACAGTTTTAGTTGGCTAGGCGCCTTGGCCACAGTTCGAGTCAGTCGCTCGCTGCAGTCGCTCGTCGTGGACGCTGACAGCGCGCTCTCGCACTCTCGCCCCCTCGCTGTCGCTAATACACTGTCGCTCTCTCCTGCTTAGATTTTACAGTTAGAGTTGCACGAGCTGCAGCCGCACTTGCAACACGCTGTGAGCAGGTCGAAAGTTTTGTCAATTGTTAAATGAAAACGGCAAAAGGCAAAAGCTAAAAAGCCTAACTAAAAATAGCAACTAAATTTGAGCTATAAATCTGGCATAATTATATACATACTCTCATAAATATATACATATACTATATGTATATGAGAACTAAGTGTTCTGTGTTGTTTTCTGTGTGTGCGCCAAGTGGAAAATTGTTTAAAAATATAACGAAAACGCCAAACAGCAAAAGCTCCAACAAAAAACCTTTGTCAATCAGAGAGAAGTGAACAAAATATACCTGCATAACTGTAAACAACTACAACAACACCAACAACAAGTGCTACTATTACTACAAAAACAACAAACATTCAGGTATTTTATGCATTTGCTTTTGAGTTCAACTGCTTCGCGCTGTTTTTCCTTTCAATGTTAATTAAAACCAAAAACGAAAATTTTGCAAATATTGCTGCGGCGCTCGCTCTCGGCTCTCTCTTTCTCTTCCGCTCTCTTTCGCTTCGACACACAAACACACACACACACACATACATGCAGGCGCGTTATCTATGGCCGCTCTTGTTTTCTCTCTTATGGCAGCGTTGCCAGACTGTTCACACATTGTTGGTAGTTCATCTGAGCTGCAGCTGATCAAATTTATGATATTACATCAAGTGTCGAAGCTTTTATTGTTATTTTTCAGCAACTTAACGCACGCACGCTCTCCCTGTGTGCCGCTCTCACGCTCCTGGCCCTCCTCTCTCTCTCTCTCCAACTCTCTTGCTTATCTACCATTACCTGTCTTATCTTATGCGCACACTTCCTTTTTCATTCCTTTTTGCCTGTTTGCAATCCATAGACACGTATCGTTATTCACAAGAACAACAACAACTGCTGCACTCTCTACTTATACTATGTATAAGACGAAAAGCACGCACTTGCCTTAGTCTCAAGTCCTCTGACACCACACGCTTGCAATTAGCGTAATTGCGGCTCAACTCACACACACACACACGCATACTCACTCCTCGCACATACACACATACACACACACACACAGTTGTTGGCATCAGATGACAGCGCCAATTTCTTAAAGAAAACAAATTGTTTGCACTGCTCCTGGAGCAGTTTAGCTTCTGTAATGAATGTGATGACAGAATAATACGATTTTATAAGAGATTAAATAATATTTTTATTTATAGCATTATTTATATATAAAATGTAATATTTATTATTCATAAAGAAATTTGAGGTACTCATTAAATCGAGCATTGGCTTATATAGACGAATTGTTTTCCTTTCCTTTTAATTCCATAGCTTTTGAAATGAATTATACTTATTCGAATTATCTAGAATTCTAATTTATTTAATCATTTGACTTAATTTCCATCTTTGAATAGTTTTTCATTGTGTTTTGCCCTTGCCTAACAAGCTCATCCATTATTACATTACATTCAATTTGCATTGTGAATTATGGTAATCCTGATGAATTTTGATTATAGCAATTTTGTTTTGGCTTTGTCTATTCTCTCTCTCTCTCTCTCTCTCTCTCTCTCTCTCTCTCTCTCTCTCTCTCTCTCTGTCTCTCCGAGCTCCTTTGTTGAGCTTCAAGTTCACTTTATAGGTGCACCCAATGTTATAAATAGCTATCAGGCTTAAATGTAGCTCCAACCCTCTGGCAAACAAAGTCTCACCCACCACCAACCACCCACCACCAACCACCCACCACCCCTTTCCCATCATCCACCCGCGCTGCTGACGTCGTTGCATTTATAGCCCTGACAATGTCAGCTGTTATATGTTGTTTGTTTCGTCCACCTTTGACATATTGTGTATTTAGTTCAAGGTCATTCGAAAGTTCTGCGTGATAACGTGAAACTGGAGCAGGAAGAAGCTTCTCGACCAAAATTGATTTGTCCACTTGGGAGGGAGGTCAGCAACTGGCTCGCTGCTGTCCACTGTCAAGGTCAACAGTGAAACAAAGAGAAAAGGAAACATGCGTGTTGTCCGCGTCACTTGATTACTTTTATTCGTGTTGCGAATACTCTCATTAGTCAAAAAGTGTCAGAAATGCCGTTAAGAGTTCATTAACGAGCCCACAGTTATTTATGAGGTCTTGGAAGAAACTTTAGACTGGACATATATTTGTAAAAAGGCATTCCCATTTCACGACTAAGGAAGTGCGAATTTCAGCGAATGGATTAAATGCCTACAAATATGTATTAAACAGCACTTAGAAGCTTTTCCTGTGAAGAATATAATTCATAAACATTTTCTAGTTCCCAAATTGTAGTATAATTATAAGAAGCTACAAATTTGCAGGTGGCTAACGAAATCATTACAAAAACTTTATTAACATATGCCATTCGAACTACTTTGTAAGCAGTCCGAGACTCTTAAACTCTCTTCGCAATTCTAGTTCAAAATAAAGTATACAAAGTATGGCAATAAACTTGCCTGACTGCATGACAAAGTAAGCTCACTTCGAGTGCTAGCCCAGTCCACCTGGGCTGTCGGTCGCTTGGCCGTAAACTGGGCTGGAGGTAATGGGCTGGCATAGTGTTAACGGGTCACAGCTAACAATAGCAAAGGGGCCCTGCACACAAAGTGTTAGTGAACTTTTGTGCCGCAGCCCGGCCGTTTGGCAGCTGTCCAGGACTTGTTTTCCAGCTGGCTGGACAAAGGATTCGCCAACAGCAGCAGCAGCAGCAGCAGTAGCAGCAACAGGAAGCGTAGCCATTGAACATTTAATGTATGCAGAAAGAAAGCGTTGCAACATTTGCCTTTGTCCACTGGCTCGACTAATTTATGGCTGTCACTTAAACGGGGCCGGCGCCAACTCAGCGCTAAGCTGCAGCCCACGCGACACTCAGGGCAACGCAACGCAGCGGGCAAGTGCCCATAAATTGTGCCCTCTTCTAATCAGCTTGGCTCGCACCAGACTGCCTCTCTCTGCGCTTCTCGTAAATCAGCGACAAGTGGAGCAGCAGCCTAGTTGGCTCCGACTTAATGGCAACTAATTGCATTTGCGCCAAAGCAAACAATGTTACAGTGAATTTGATTGGATGAGCGTGACTAGCAGATACCCTAAGCTTGAGCAATGAAGATTACTTTGGGTGGAAAAGGGAGAGGCAATCAAAAGGGGAAATATATGTAGTTTGGTATACTCTAAGTGAAGCAATTTAATAGATCCCGAAAAAGCTGAGAGAAGGAATTAAAGATATTGACAATAAAAAGAAAAGTTTTTTAGCTTTGCTTAGGAAACTTAATATTTAAAGAAATCAATATCTATATATAAATCTAAAATAGTATGATCCCGTATTCCAGGTTTTCTAACATAAAAGATAACTAAGTTCTGCAGTTCAAAGCATTTGCCCCATATCAATCTACCCCACGTATTTCAGTGTAGGGCTCGAGATGACACCACTTTAAATCCCTTTTAGGGTCCACCGACTACAAAATAAGAGGAGAAGGGGCTCCAAGTTATTGTGCGCCAGTCAGACGCCAGCTTAAGTCCCGATTGAAGCGAACTTCTTAGGGTTTTGCGACTAACGAGAATGTTCGCAAACGACGCGTTGCCAAAATCAGTTTGTGGGACAGCGGGCGGGGGCTCAGGCAAAGGGAGAGCAAAGTGATTGAAAATTGACTTTCAGAACGCATCAACATTTTGTTGTTCGGTTGTTTGTGTGTTTCAGTGTCGCAGGATGTTATTGTCCTGTTTATGAGGAAATTTACAAAAAAAGATGGCTAAGAAATGGAAAAAGTTGGCTGCCAAATTGAGAATCGATTTTGATTATTCAAAAAGTTTGTGGGGGGTGATATGTATACATATATATTTATATATTAGGTATACAAGTATAAGAGCATTAAGGTATATCTAGGGGCGAGCTCTTGAGCTGACTTGTGCGCTTTCAATTGTTAGCTGAGTGAAAAAGTTAACTATTGACTGGCAGGAAGTCACTTGAGTCAAGTTTCCGATTGGATTTTCCGTATTCCCAATTAGGATTGGGTGGTGAGCTCCTCAGCAGCTCTATAAAAATGTATCTAATGACAGCAGAAGTCAAGCAAAAACGAATTGGACTTCCTGTCTCTCTCTCTTCTTTTAATGAATACCTTTCAGAAATTGTAAGCCTCTGGTCCAATTAGTAAGCTAATTAGCATTTAGAATCACCATACTGTCCTCCCAGCTGAAACTTTTCCATTTCATCTTCCACTAAAGTCACTTGGCTTTCGCCAAAAGGCACAAATTTAGGCTTGTCAACAAACTTTATGATTGTCATTCACGAATTTACTGTATACAGCCCAATCAGCAAGCAAATTGGGGCACATACGATGACGAGGGTTTTGCTCAAGCTTACAGTTTACAGACTTCTCGTAAAATTAAGACCTTAGTCAAAGCCCAAGATTAAGATTATGCTTGTCATTAAAGAATTTGGTGCTCAGACTAACTAACAGCAAAATACTTGCCTCATTTTGCCTTACATTAAGTAATTTATAAGCTCCTAATAAAAAATATTATAGACTATAAATATTTAGACCAAATAAAAATAATTTTACTATTTTCTAAGACTATACAACTAATGGAATAAATTCTTATACATTTCTCAACTTTAACATATTGTTTATGCTTACAGCAGCACAATACAAAGGTAGTCCAAAGTAACTGTCGCCGCTCTAGGGGTAGCTGAGTGTTTGCTGGTAGCATGCCAGCTGCAGTTATGGCATCAGATATCAATTGGGATCCAGGTGAGCGCTAGTCAAACACACATACACAGCCGCTATAATAATGATCAACTTGCAGCGCTTTCAAAATTGATAACCACATTGAAGGAATCGGACAATTTGTCCAATGATCAGGAGATTGACTTTCTTAAAGCCTTGCTGGAGTCCAAGGAGCTAAATGCCTTGGTCAATGTGCACACAAAGGTGGCCAAGGTGGGTCGGGATGAAAGGCTAGCACCTGTCTTGTCCACCTCGTCGCAGGTGCTCTACGAGGTGCTCGAGCAGCTGTCGCAGCGTTGTCATCTAAACGAAGATTGCAAAGAGGCATTCCATCTGCTGCAGGATTCGCATATCCAGGTGAGCTACACAAATATGCATAAGACATAAGAACCTTCGCTTAACTGTAATTTCCAATTAGCACCTGCTATTGGCCCACGATGCGATCGCCCAAAAGGATTTCTATCCGCATCTGCCGGAGGTGCCCATCGAAATGGACGAGGACGAGGAGACCATCAAGATTGTGCAGCTTGTCAAAAGCAATGAGCCGCTGGTAAATTTCGAACCCCCGTTTCAACTGCTTCCCAATTCATGTCCATTAACTTATGCTCCATACTGTGTCATGTCTATCGTATATATATAATGCTATAGCTGTCTAACTTTCCAAGCCACATATACATACCTCTCGCATATCTTCACAAAGTCTCTTTGTCCTTTGCCTCCAAACGTTTCGCTTCTTCTTCATGCATATAAAAATCTCATACTCATATTTGTTTTTCAATGCTAACAAATCTTATTGTAAATTTTTGCTTTTGTCTCAAAAAACCAAACATTAAAAAATCGAATAAAATCGAAAAACAATTTTAAAATTCGTCCATCAAAAATATTGTTACCAAAATATATATACATAAAACAGACAGGAGCACAAAGTGCGGAACCAATTGTTGTAAGTAAAAAGTCCTTACTGTATAGTGAAAAGCATTAGATAAACCGGAAGTTAAACTTGGCACCACCAACAACAACAATAACAAACAACAATCCACAACAACAACAACCAAAGACAACAACAACTTATGTAATATACAAATCAACTTGATGTACTTCAATGTGAAACCGTCTAAAGTTTTATTTTCATAATTTATTATATTCATTTATATGTATTT